ATCCCAGGACCCTGGGATCATGACCTGAGCCGAAGGCGGACGCTTAACGACTGAGCCACCCAGGCGCCCCTGTACAGACCACATTTTGTTCATTCATCAATTGATGGGCATTTGGGTTGTTTCCACTTTGGAGTTATTATGAATAATGCTGTTACGAATATTGTGTATACTTTTTTGGTGTGAAGATCTGGCTTTTTAGTGACTCAGCTGCCCTTTTAAATATCACAGCTAAATAGGACCCCCGATGTCCTCTTGCTTAGTGCCTCCTTTTTAGGCACATGAAGTGTCTGGATCACAGACAAGGCAGTGGAGGCCCAGTTAGGGTAGGCAGCTTCCCTGGGCGCGTAGAGCTAGACTGGTGGAGTGGGACCCTGGATCCGGGTCTCTCGCTCCCAGGTTCAGCGCTTCACCAACTGGTGTGGAAACATGAAGGCAGAAGAAGACCTAAAGCCTTCAGTGCACAGATTTGTAAAAGTCTTGTAGGCTTTTTCTGTTTGCTGTTTCTTCTGTTTGTCACAATAGTACGATCTGATTTGAAAGCAAAAGAACAAGAACATCAGAGTTAGAAGGTTCCTTAGAGACTTTCTAGTCTAATATTTCCTTTATACAGATGAAGAAACCAAAGCCCAGAAATGCTGTTGGGGGCAGAGCAGGGACTAGAACTCCGATTTCTACTTTTCACCCCAGCCCTCCTTGTGCCCCCTAAGGGTGAGCATTCATTTGTCAAGAGCTGGGTGAGGGTTGTGCTGAGTCATTTTGTGTTTCTTCTCTAATAGAATCCCGTCACAGGGCTGCTGTCGGCCAGTCACGAGCAGAAGGATGCCTGGGTGCGGGATAACATCTACAGCATTCTGGCCGTGTGGGGCCTGGGCATGGCCTACCGCAAGAATGCTGACCGTGATGAGGACAAGGCCAAAGCCTACGAGTTGGAGCAGGTAATGTTGACTGGCAGCCATGTCTTGGCTGCTCAGCGCCTTTTCCTTAAACTGAGAAGCCTGGAAGCAGCTGTGCAGAACAGTTTGGTGTAGGCATCGCCTCCATTTCTGCTATAGAGTATTTTAGGGAGGTGCTTAGGTGGTCTCCTTGATCGTTCTCTTTGAGCTTTTTTTCCCTCCTTAAAAAAACAACCCAAATCACACTATTCTGAAAAGGAAAAGAAAGCATCCAAATTTCTGACTAGCTACATTTCTCTCACACATGCTCTGTCAATTTTATATATACTTATATACAAAATGTCATTATAAACTAATCGATTGTTTTTAAAGAGTCAGCACACCAGAAATATACATTCCGAAGTGTAATAGTCTGAAGTAGTCAGGTTGAAAGGGTATTTATCCAAACAGTATTGCTATTTCTTAAAACATTTTTGGTATTTCCCTTAGAAATTCCTTTTTAGTCTGAACCATTCCAAAGCAGTCTTATGAATTTATAGTCAGTCACCCTTTCATTTTGAATCACATTGGTGTTGTCCAGTATTCATGCCTATGTTACCGTATGGCACAATGAAGTCTTTTTATTGATTTCCAAATTCAGAAACCAACACAGTCAGCGAAGCAAAGATTGGCCATCATTGAGTATGTAAGAAAATAATCTGCCCTTGAGCACAGGAGGTATTTTCAGAGTATTTTGAGTGATAACGTTGAAGTAGGGAGCATTGGCAAAGAACAGCGTAGTTCTCTTAGCATGAGAGCCTTTGGGATTTATGTTTGATTCGTATGTTCCTTACTGGCTCTCCCAGCCAGTGGATTATCAGGTTCAGGGAGAGTTCTTATAGCCCAATCAGTGTGTTACAGCAACCAAAGTGGGCAGGAGTGACAGACAGCCTTGATGGCCATAGCGAAACTAGCAGAGGAAGCCGGTCTGTGGGAGCAAGGGAAGGACAGTTTGGATTTGACGAGACACGCTGAGTGTAAGGTGATAAAATCACCAAGTCTTGGAGGTAAGGCAAGAGGTCGTTTTAAAATATGCCTACAGCAAGCACTGCACGCTCCTCCAAGAAGTTGGATGGTTATTACGTAAGTGACTCATTCTTTAGCAGTATAATAATTTAATGTGGATGTTCATCAAACTTCCCATCCCCCTTTGAGACAAAATCGAAGTAAAGCTTGCCTGGCTACACACACGTGTGCCTGCACACACCCCGTACCTCAGCTCTGTCAGCGTTTTCTGACGCAGGCTACAGTCGACTAGATGTGCTGCGCTATGACTGACAGTAGTGAGGCACGAACAGGCCACACTGTTGTGTTGAGTGTGGTTAATAACTAAAGAGAGACCTTTCCCTTGATTATGGAGGACAACACAGGATCTTCCCGTGATCCTCCGTAGGGCTGCCATTGCCTTTGGGGTGTACAGTTATTCATTGCGTGAGACTGTCACGCGCATCGCAGGACCCTTAGGCTCCCTGGGCCCTACTCACTGAATGCCGGTAAGCCCCACCTTCATCATGGTGACAATAAAAATGCCTCCAGCCCCACATTTCCAGATGTTCCTCCACCCCTAGGGGATGGGAAGTCACCCCCAGTTGGGAAGCACCGTGCTTCTTCATAATGGAAAATAACTTTGTTTGAGGGGAAGTCAGTGGACAAATATTTGTGCTGTAGACTGTAGGAAATGTTAGTTATACCTTATTATGAGGTTACATTTTCTGCCTCAAAAGAGTTTATGTCCTAAAGTGAGATTGTATTCTAGAATCCTAGGATTTTAGAGGCAGAAGGATCTGAAGGATGATTCATTGCAGATTTTTCTCTGGTAATTAACTTTCATGGCCTTTCACTCTATTCTTCCCCTGCAGACCATGTACATTCTACAAGACAATGGTCCTTCTTTCAGCCGGGCTACTTCGACCCACAGAATATCCCATTCTGTAGCCACTTGTGAATTAGTTTTATATGGTTTTTAATAGGATGGATTAAGACCAGTCTTTTGATGGGTCTGAATTTCAGAGGAAGTGGGAGGCAATATAACGTATTGACTAAGAGCTCAAACTCTGGAGTCAGATCCCTGGGTGTGGGCTCTGTCCTTGCTCCACCCCCTGCCCGCGGGGAGACTTTAGCAATGTTGCCTCATCTCTCTCAGCCTCAGGTTTCTTATCTATAAAGTAGGCTAATAATAACATGTGCCTCATAAGGTTGTTGCAAGAATTAGAATCCAATCCAGGTCAAGGGTTTCGTACAGTGCCTGGACAGAAGGTCTGATTATCATAGTACTATTGTTATTATTCATAAGGATAATAGTTGGTTGCAATACATACTATTAAGAAACCTTGGCAGCTACTTGCATTTTGTAAGAACTTTACTCAATAGCCCTGTGATGGTGTCACAAATGGCTCTTTCGGCGAAGTAGCATTCCTTTGGGGCAAGCATGGCGAACTTAATTCATCTTTGGCATAACAAAAAAAAAAAAGAAAGAAAGAATTGTGACATCAAAATTAATCCTCAGAGTACTAGGCTTATAAAAATTGTCTTGCTAAAATACCAGTGAGGAGTCACTGGATTTTAGAACTGAAGGTGCCATCTGGTCCAAGCCCTTTATTTGAGATAAATTACTGTATCAAGATTTTCTTTCTTTGTGATGGCGTGGCGATAATCTCAATAGTCAGAATGCTTGTATATGCTCAGGCTGTGCCTTCTCAGGGAGGTCTGTGGGCAGCCCTGGCTTACGGGCCATGTGGTGAGGAGGTGGTTTTCAAGGAGCAGGGAAGCTGGCCTTGTCACTGATCCCACTTTCTTTCCACAGAACGTGGTGAAACTGATGCGGGGTCTTCTCCAGTGCATGATGAGACAGGTAGGCAGAAAAAGACAAAAGTGTTTTCAGGTCATCTGAGTGGCATTTTGTCACTTTCATGGTGACAGCTAACATTCCTAAAGCGTTTTGAGCTTCTCAAGTGGAAGAGAAATTGAAAATACTTGGCTTACTTTGTCCTTTCAATTATCTTCAGTAATCTTATCATACTATAGAACCACAGACTCAAAGGACCCTGTTTCTCACAATCTCTTTTGAAGAGTTACTTGTGTAGAAGGAGAGCATGCCCTTTTTTTAAACGGGGATGAAATCATTGTTTTTAAAAGCCACTCTCGGACAGCCATGTAGTATTGTTTCTTCTGTTGAGTTTATATATATAGAGGGGTTTCTTTTCATTTGAGTTGAAATGCTTGAGTGTTTAAGACTTGACAGTACTGTCTACTGGCATTTCAGTGGGGGGGGGGTAAATAAAATAATTCATTGAGCTCGTACTATGCATAGAACCTCATTATGGGATCTGCACAGGTTCCAAAATGAATGATACTGTCCCCACCCTTCAGCAGCATGTGCCTGGTTACTCTTCAAAGCCCTAGTTCCTCTTTTCCTTTTGACATAAGGAAACAAGAAGCTGAAGTTTAAACAGGTCCTCTTTCTTCCCTCTCTCTCTCGCTGAGCGCCTACCATGCGTCACAGCTCCGGCTGGGCATATGCACACAAGGAAAACCCTTTGGCTTGACCCGTCGCCCTGTAGAGCTTGTTAAAATCCCCCTGGGCTGGGCCACATCTGGTGTGGACAGGGAGAATCCCCCACACAGCCCCTCCGTGTGGTGCCGCCTTCCATCTCTCTGGCTCCCAGACGTAGCGGCTAAGAGGTCTAAGAGCAAGAGATTGACCCTGGGTGTGGCCTCTGCTGGCTGTGAAGCCCTTAACCGTGTGGAGCCGGCTTGCTCTCTCCCGCAGGTGGATAAAGTGGAGAAGTTCAAGCACACTCAGAGTACCAAAGACAGCTTGCACGCCAAGTACAACACGGCCACCTGCAGCACTGTGGTGGGCGACGACCAGTGGGGCCACCTCCAGGTGGATGCCACCTCCCTCTTCCTCCTGTTCCTGGCCCAGATGACTGCCTCTGGTGAGCCAGGGCCCTTGGAGCCCATTGTACAGGGAGTGGCAATCCAGAAGGGAGCAGGGAGGGGCAGGCATTGATCCAAATTCCAAATAAGTTATTTCTGTAAAGAAAAAGCATGCATGTTTATAATACCACGTACATTGACTCAGTGACCTGCCAACAGCCAGCCTTCTGAGGACGTATAGGACAAAGGGCTGTCGAGCCAGCTCTGGTAGCATCTCTCTGGTTGATCCCAAAGCTGGCTTGGCCCCTTCACCTCTTCCTCTCACATCCCTCTTCTAGACACACCCTCATTCACCTGAATTATATTCAAACAACATAATTTCTAGAACTCGGCAGTCTGCCCAGAGTGGTCAGTCAGTCCATAGCCTCCATGCTGGGAGTGGGCCAAAAACTCCCTGACTGTGAGCATTGTTCCTCAGCCCAAGCTGTTGGCTTCCATGGCAGCTTGGGACACCAGGCCTCCTGAGCTCCAGACTGCAGCGTGTTTCTGCTAACAAATGGTCTCTCGGATGACACAGTCTGCTGCGACGGCCCCCGGGGGTTAGGTCATTTAGCTGCTGTGTCTCAGTGTTCTTATCCCCAGTCCAGTAAACTGACCTTCTGAGTTAGAGGCTTCCCATGAATTTCAGTCTGCAAATGTGAAACTCTAAAGATAGCAGAAATCAGTAAATAATATTGTTATAGCTTTGTGAATAAGCCAGGCATTTATAAAAAATACTTTTTGGTTATGAAAATTAAGATGAGCTCATTGTAAATAGTTTGGAAAATAGAACAAAATACAAAGAAAAAAATTCCACTGCCAATTTTCATTTGGATGTGTCTCCTCTAAGTCTTTTTTTTTTTTTTTTTTCCAATTTAGGGTCATATTTTCATAAATAGTAGTCATTATTATATAGAATTATAACTTAAGCATTTTCCCCATGATCTTACAAGCTCTTCATAAATATAATTTTAGCGATTTTATCAATGAATATGCCATAATCAGACTCTTCCTTTATTCCTTTTTTTCTCCTAGTGTAACTGATGTTGCAATCCAACTTTTTTTTTTTTTTTTAAAGATTTATTTATTTGAGAGCGAGAGGTGGGGGGTGCGGGGCAGAGGGAGAGGGAGAGAGAATCCTCAAGCAGACTCCCTGCTGAGCATGGAGCCCGATGCGGGGCTCGACCCCGAGACCCTGAGGTCATGTCCCAAGCTGAGATCTAGAGTCGGCTGCTTAACTGACTGAGCCACCTAGGTGCCCCACAATACCAACTTTGACCCCATCGCTACTTGCTTCCTTCTGTTGGATAGACTTCAGAGGCTATTTATATATATTACCAAATTGTTTTCAGAACAGTTTACTAGTTAAACTCCCCCTATTGATGTAAGAGTTCATATCTTACCATACCCCTATCAGCTTAAAAAATCCATACTTTTCAAAATATGTATATTTGCCATAATCACCTAAACATTCGAGGGCCCAAGCAAAAATCCAGCTCTCTCTTTTTTTTTTTTAAGTTTTATTTATTTATTCATGAGAGTCAGAGAGAGAGAGGCAGAGGCAGAGGGAGAAGCAGGCTTCCCGCCTAGCAGGGAGCCTGATGCGGGACTCGATCCCAGGACCCTGGGATCATGACCTGAGCCGAAGGCAG